AGAGAGGTGGAGGGGGGGGGGGTTGGCCGATTGCATGCAGTTCAAGCTAACATAGGTTTATGAAAATAATTTTGAAGTAAACGACGTAAAGCAACGCGACGTCCGAAAGTAAATAGGAGAAGCTGATCAAAGAGTGCTTGAGATAATCGATGCAAGGGATAAGCTAAAGAGTCATAACCTTTTCAAAGTTTAGACACTACATCGTTAACAAGTTTATGTTCGCATTCATTTTTGACTAGTATGATGCTCAATTACACTGAAATTTGCAGTTACCATTGCTTTTAAACCGGGAATACAATGACACCTTATCACATATTTATTGCGAATTGTTTGCACGTTGCAGTCTTTACCGTTTGGCATCATGCAATGGAAAAATCGAGGGACTCTGATTAACATTTCTCATATTTTCTTTTAAAAGCACAATGCCTATTATATAATAGCTGCTTTAATTAAGCACCTTTACCGTCTATCAAGAAAAATCAATCGTCTGAAATAAGAATACAATAAACTTTTCCACTTCTACCTTTGATTTCTCTGTAAACTTTTAAATCTACCTTCACAACCAGGAAATGATATCATACCAATTGTAAATTCAGCGTTATGGTACACGATCACAAGCTACAATCGATCTAGGATTAAGTTATATTGAAAAATAGACTGGGAAATATAGCGGATTACAATTTCTACTGCATTTCTGCGTAATTTAAGTTTCACACCACAAATGCTGGACGGGCTAGCTAGGAGAAAAGATTAGTCATACTCAAGTTATCCCATAGGCGGAATAGGGGAGATTGTGGAGAGGGGGTTAGGATCTGACATACCGGTCATCCAGTCGCAACAACCGGTATACGCGCTTGTCTGCATGGCCCGCTGCGAACACGTCAGAGCTCTCCCTGTGATTGGTCACTTAGGTAGCACACAAATACCTCCACGCCTATTGGTCATCTCATACGCACGTGTATAACCGCCTGAAAACCGCAAGCCATGACCTCGGACACTCTTCTTTCATCGGCAACAGCAATGAAGCTGGTGCCTGTTCTTGTCCTCTGTCTTCTTCTAGCACGGTACTCAAAAGCATTTCGTCCACAATCCCCAGGCTACAATGAAGTCCCAACTCCCACCCGGTCTATATCATACATCCCCGGTTATCTAGATGCTCAGCCTCCACCAATGCAAGTGTATGAGGGTGAAACTTCCACAGGAACTATGCCATCCTCGATATCTCTGGCTATCGTCTTCGATTCTACCGGTTCCATGGGTGATGACTTGAAGCAGGTCAAACTGGGTGCTAGGAGAATTCTTCAAAGGCATCTGGAAAGGGGTAGAGAGGCCTTAATCAAGGACTTCGTTCTGGTCAAGGTCCATGATCCTGGTAAGCCAATTAAGCTTTTTTAGCATACTCCAACTGTGAAATTTCCCGAAGCTAGAATTATGAAGAGTTAGTTGAAATTAAACCGTGAGGTCGATCATTGTATGAACAGCGCTTTCTGGTTTGTCACGGTTAAAACCGTATAAGTTCCACAAAAAAATGAAACACTTATCATCAGGAAGCGATAGATGAAGATTTTATTTTGACTTCCAAATGAGAATGAAGTTGAAGAAAGCTTCTTGAAATTTTTCCGAAAATAGCACGGTCCCACTGCCACCAGGTCATAGACGATTTTTTTTGGCGTCATTAATTAAGGTACCAGACATTTATGGAACATAAACATATTAGGTGTGGTAAACAAAGAGGGTGTTATAAGAACATGATAAAAGGATTCTGATATTGAGTGATAAATTTGATTTTGTGGGCGTTTCGAAGTAACTTTAGTTTCTCAATGGCTGCACACAAGCATCCATCTGTCGTTATCGCAAGTAAAAAACAAATCAATTTAAAGTTCGATTTAAGCATTGCAGTTATTAATAGCTTGCTGGAAAAATGAAACCAAATGCAACCGATTTCACTCTCAGGGGGAAAATAAACCACCCCTCCCGGATCCTTTGTCTGCTGGCACGCCGAGTTACTAATGCTATTGGAAGATTGACGTGGACAAGAAGAGATACTAGTTTCGAAAAATTGCCTTTATGCATGAAAACACCGATCTTGACGGTCTAAAAATTTTGATTGGTGATTGATATATATATACGAAGGATCGAATTCACTTATAGTTTTATTATCACATATTTCACAAGTTAATTCTAATTTTTTTGTTATTGAAAGAAATACTAGCTCTCAAATTGTGCAATTAAGCACTCACGCTAGCCGGGGGTTGAACTGGTTCATTTCAATACTGGCTGAACATCTTAGATTGCGATTCAAATTACCGATGAGAATAGCGGATTGAAAAAAATTAATTATGAATTAGACAAACGAATTTACAAGTTCATTTTTACCAGGCAATGGCTATTAAAAGTGCGAATACGAGACCAACTTCTTAGTGTGCAAGGAATTCAATTCGTCATGTGTTTCACTGGGACACTTAATAGGGCGTTTTCAAACATTTACGTAACTTTTATCTAAATCGAGATAAAAATGTAGTACGAGACTGTGGAAGGCGTGTAACATATTTCTAGATGTGATATTTTCTGAGATGGTTTCCTAAAATACAGACTTACCATAAATTCATTTTTCTGATACTGTAAGCTATTGTTTCACCTTTACATGGTCGCATTGCGTCTGAGAGAATTCATTAGCTTTTTAATTAAAATATTACGAGCTTATTTTTAATAATCACCGGGTTATTGCGACTCAAATACAGTGGAATGATTGAGATACTAAAAATAAGGAATGGTTGCCATCATTATCGATTCATATCGATGTGTAATCATTATATCTTGTTGATTTAGATGAAAATTTATTGATATTTTAAAAAAGTAACTTATTGTCTGAAATAATGTATATAAATAAAACGATTGGTACCTTGGCTTTTTAAACTGATCTGGTCATTATACGTGATATTATAATAAAATCAACTAAAAGTATTTATCATTAAAATATTACTTTAATTCTTATAAAATTATCTAGTTGAATTATTTGCTCTTTCAATTTTGTCTAGTTACATCATGTAATTCAAAAGTTCTAATGGTTAATAAGATTAGAAAAGTTGTATCTTGTCTTTCAGAAAACCATAGTGTGAGATATACGATCAGTGAAGACATCAGGTAGAATCTGAAGTATGGAAATGCCAATTATCTGGGTACCATTTTATTTCGAAAAGGCCACTGAATTCTATATCATTATCGTCTATTTTTAACCTTGGCGTTAGTCAACAATAATGGACATATTTCCGAACACTTATATTTCATTTTGAGCTGGAAACGCATTAGTATTTATCAGAAAAAAGATATCTTTACTTGTTCTCGTCATAATAAATTACTGTCAATTACGACTAATTAGAGAGGCAAGCGAGATATTCTTGACAGCAATGCGAGAGCAAATATATTCAAATGGCGATCCAACTTGGTGGCCGATACCGAGAACCGAGAATCCAAAATAGTATCAATTTGGTAAAGGCGTAAAAGTGCATCGTTTACGAACAGATTCAGATTAAGAGACGTTTGTTCCTATTCTTCTGTGTTTAGATGTCGGGCCGGCCCGCGTTACCACATCAACAAAGACCTTCTACCAATACCTCGAAAGCGTCTATACCCAAGGTGGTGGTGATTGCCCCGAGATGACAATTACCGGCATTGAAATGGCTCTAGAAGCTGCTCAGCCGAACTCCCTCATCTACGTTTTCACTGACAGTAGTGCCAAGGATTATGATCGGCTCCCACGCGTCCTGAACCTCATTCAGAAGAAACAAAGCCAGGTTAGATATGTTCACACGCGGAGCAGTAGTGTTATAAATATCCGTGGTACAGATAAACAGACATTTATAGGTTCTAGACATGGAATTTGACCTGAGCCAATGAGAATATCAAACGAGACTGCTGAATGGTAGACTGAATTTCCTATTTAATCATGTCATCTGAGTCTACTGGTGTTTCTTAGAACAAAGAAGTGGTTAGTGAAGTTACCAAGTACGCATTAACCGCGATGGAGGTCATATCAGATAGCAAAAGTTAACTTATTCAAAATTTAAATTCAAAATTAAATTCTGAAAATAGGTTGAAATGTGGACATAAGGTCATATTATTTAATTGTTTATTTAATGAAAATGCCTTTTCATGCCATAATTTTTGAGTTCATTTTGTTTATTTCACCCCCCCCCCCTCTCCTCGAAACTTGTAAGCCTTTTTAAACAAAAATGAATTATCTTCTAAGTCCCTGATCACGTATCGATTTGGCAGCTCTGAAACAAACACGGTTGCAACGCTTTCAATTTAAAAGTGTTATTAATTGCTTATGAGGCAGGCAGCGTGGTAAGGGTGTCATCATCACTCACGTTTGCTGAAGGTTTATTTACCTATAATTCATATTTTATGAGTGAACAACTTTCTAGATCTGATTAGCCTCATTTTACAATGAGAATAATTTCTAGAACTAATGAGTCACCCCATCGGTAGAGGCAAAAATGTCAAACTAACCTACTGCAACTTCCTTTACAAGCCTTCCATAATCCATGTTAATCCGCCTTTCCCACCAGAGGTGAAATGAATTGTAGTGACCATCTTTTTTTCGAATGATGTAAGGCAAGTCTGAAACGAGTGGAAACATCTAGAAAGTTGTTCATATTTACAAAAAATATTAATTTCAAGTCGAAATTTTCTTGGGTTTGAATTTTGACAGATTGTATTTAACCGAAATCTGTTCATTTATGAACTGTAACATATTGTGAAAATTGAGGAAGTAGTATAATGGGTTTCTCAATCCCCCCCCCCCCCACGCCCCCCTTGACTGTCAGACGTTGTAGTAGAGGAGAAAAGATGCTATTTCACATCTCCATAGTATTACATTTAAAGGCAAAAAGAAGTGCTGGAAATATTAGAAAATTGGAAATTTCACTGTCTGTGCTGCCCGCATTCGACCCAGACATTTTGGCCACTAAATATGCGACCTGTCGCTTGAACATTATGTCACCGAGTTTAAACTTATGACCTTGGGTTTTAAATCGTTAGGAGGATCATTAAACGTTGAGGCAAAGATTAAACGGTGATGCCCAAAGATTTTTTTGTCAGAAAAAGTCTTAAGTGAGCTTTACTCGATGCTTCTACGAATCATGCTCAGATGTGGTATTAAATCGTGGCAGTAATTTTTTTAACGATAGATCTAATGTCTATTGGAAATACCAAAATTACTTGAAAAATAAGAATCTAATCAATTTAATCGGTCGAATTGTTTAATATTTCCTTTACGGAAATCATAGTTTCAATTGAGTTAGTAAAAAAGCTTCTGAATTAATGGTTATATTAGACAGGAATAGACACTTTCTCCTGCTCAAACAACTGGTGATCGTCACTACACTACAATGTAAAATTTAAGGAATCTAAAAAAGTGATCGATTGCAACAGGTACAGATTCGATAATGCATAACCTACATGCCACCAATAGCCCAGATTTCAGCAACTGAATCTTTAACCACAGTAATGAATGATCCCCCTACCCTAGAGAGATGAATAAAACATCTGCACCCCTTGCCAAACCCAGCAGAATTATGTGTAGTAAGATCTATTTTAAAGTTAATATTACAGCAGAATTATTGGTCTTAAAGAGTAAGAATAGTAAGGAATGCCTGTCGTCCGTTGACAGATTGAGAGACAGAATTGGTATTTTTTTTTGCAATTCGGAAATTTAAAATATGGAAATCTGTATATTCTTTCTTTAGGTTTGAAGTATTTATTTATACAAACCATATACGCCTTGAATATAAAATGAGGGCTTTGGAATATTTAATTCTTTTCCACTGCTACTAATACAGCGATTTAAATTAACAAAAGAACCGTACTGATATGAAGCGTTAAATTTTCTTTACTAAAAATAAATAAGCATAGAGAAAAGAAATTGCCCTTTATTTTCACTCATAAATTCCTCTCATAATTCTTATTCACAATATTCAAGACTTCTGACATGTGTGCTTCTCTACCCTCTAGATCGTGTTTGTGTTGACGGGTTTTTGCAACTCAACCGATGAGATTGGCTTCCAAGTGTACCAGGAAATTGCAACTGTCAGTTCCGGCCAAGTTTATATAATCGGCAAACGTCAAGTGAATGAGGTAAAGTCTACAACTTCTTTAACAAATATGATATTTGTTAATGCAATAGTAGAAAGCAGTGCTGTTAATATGTCTGGTTTTTATTTTAATTCATTCAAAATTGCCGCCAGTTTTTGAGCTTTTTGAGTGGAGGATGTGTACAATTGAAATAATCATACTTGATATTTAATGAAATCAAATATTTCGTTAAATATTTATTACTCTGTGGGGTTGGAGAAAATCCCTTCCATTGAACCGCATTCATAGCGTTCAATTACAGTAGCAATGAGGCAGAGAAACCAGTAAAAAGAAGTTTATTTATTTATATCAAATGGCAGGCGTTTTGATAGTTATTATTGGCCCTTTAGTTGATGTCGAGTTTCACAGAGAGAAGGACCATCAAAGTCACACAAAAGTCGAAGGGGGGGGGAAGCTGATGAGTGATCCACAGATGTATAAGAGACAGACAGACACAACGGTGAGAGGTGAGTACTGTGGAAGTGGTCGAGTATGATATACAGTCGGGTCATGGTAGTTTGAAGTCAAAAAGCAACTGCCGATTTATAAACTGTTTTGCCCTATAAGCATATTTTACCCAGGGTGCATCACGTGGAGGTAAGTCCATTGCGCACCCCCAGAAGACGTCCTAGTTTACTAACATTAGGAGCTTGGGATGAATAAGTATTGATCAAGGTTATGTTGGACGATACAGAACGACAAGTAAAGCCAGTTCAGATCAATAAATCAAACAATGAAATGTTTGATCATCTGGAATCATGGAGTTGAGATTCGTAATTATGATTATTAACGGAACTATAAGGCCGGTCTTATTTATATGAAAAATTCCAAACAGAATATGCATAGCTCAAAAGAGAGAAGGTTAAATAGCTGCACCGATTTATTTGACATTATATTAAGAAATGATATACATATTTGTAGTCATGGCAACTTTTCAACCGTGTACAATCGATGGTCCCCAAATGTAAATTGATTGGTTGTCTTTATTTCCATTCATATGCGTGGGGATTGTGGAGATCACTTAAAATTCAGATTTTTCATCTCTTGATTGAGACTTTATGAAGACAATCAAAATTAGAACAAAGAAGGAAAGAAATGGTCACACTCGGACTCCTACTTACTCTGTAACAATATATAATGTAGCTTAGATACAGAATCGATCTTATTGGGATTTCCAACCATTTCTTGAAATTGTATTACGATTGAAGGCTAGTAACTAATTTCGAAATTAAGAAAATTTCAGGAACCTTTCAGGACATCTTTAAATAATGGAATGTGAATTTAACCATACTTTGGTATTGAAAGTATTCATCTCTCTCCGCTTCGTATAGTTCGATCACAGACCACTTTGCAAGCGAAGCTGACTTGGAAATTTTAAGCTGTCTGATTCCGTATTTTTTTAAAACTAGAAACATTAGAATTCCTTGTCAAAATATAATGTTTGGTTAATTTTTTAGTTCATGCGAGTTATTGAAGCTGCAGTGGAATCACAGAAAGTTCAGGTTCTCCAGCAGGATACCTGGGAGACCACTGCCAAGACTTACAGCTTTCCAGTCGATACTCATCTCTCACAGCTCACAATTCAAGTGACCAACTACAAAACTAATGATTCGATCACTGTCGGAATTCGAAATCCAGAAGGTTAGTTCATTTGGTACTAAATGTATATCTTTTGAAATGTTTAGAAGGTAGTTCCAATTAAAAAAAACAAACAAACAGAAATCATGAATTAAGTTGAGGTTCAAAGTTCTTTGTGCTTCCTAATAAAGGCTCTTTGTTTAGATTCATTACGGTTTTAACCCTTTAACGCTGCTATAACCACACGGTCCTCCTTCGAAATAAGCTCCATTGGCACTAGACTTGTAACAGAAGGTGCAATTGTCGCTTGAAACATGTTCATTACGACTATAGTCTTCGCCTGATACCACCAAAACTCATCACGTCGACGGCATCAGTCTGCTGTGAGGCATGCGTGCGTGAGGTTGGGTGCGTTTTCAAGAAAAATGTAGTTCGGGTGTTAGATAGTTACCCTCTCGTGTCTATCTAAGATTTAAAGCCTTCTAGATGCGGCATTTCTCGATTAATCACTTGCAAGTCAAATTAATAAGAGAGACATATCGGTATGACCAAATTAAAAGACTACAAAGCAAAGCCGGACTAACACTGATTAAGGTTTGCTCATAATTTAGTCATCATTTTGATAGGATTGAAGTAAGTTAAAAAAAAACACGTTTCTTTCAATTCTCTACCCCCCCCCCCCGGAATTGAAAAAAATGCTTCATGCCAAAATATTCAGGATAAATCAAACTTTCTGACTTTAACTTTATCAATAATAACCTTACAAAGTTGGAAATAAATTGTCACTTTGGAATTTTAACAATTTTGAGAGTCAGAAAGCAAAAATCAAATTATTACTAGTAAAGCTAAATACATAGTAGAAAGTTATTCTTGAATACAAATTTCAAATTCACATTATGTATCATGCGGAGCTGCAGTAAGAGAGAGAGTTTAAGAGTTGACTAGCGTCGATGCAGCCCAAATATGAGCAGAGTTTCAGGAACAAAGAAATATTGGGTTAGTTCAATGACATCTATTGAGTCGTATAGAACTTCTGAATTTTATTGCCCATGCTACCAACGCATGCTAATAGGTTTATCCACACAAAATGTGGTTGACAGTTTCACCAAGACATTTACTGAACAAGGTTTGATACACCTAAATATGCGGCCACTGAGTGAATTGATACTAACTAAATTTCGCCCTTTCAGGAAAGTTGATAACGAAGGAAGATGGTCTGCGACAGTTGATGAAAACGGTTCCAAGTGTGTTCGTGGCATCTATCGACCATCCATCTCCGGGAACATGGACCCTTGAAGTGAGTGCGGAAGTGAGTGGTGGTCAGTCGAGCTCGTCTGGTGAGGAAAGTATTGGTGGACAATGGCACTCTGTTCGTATCTCTGGTATCAGTAAGGTCGACTTCATCCCAGGCTTTGCTGCAAATCCCCTTCCTTACAATCGGGGAGCTTCACGACAACCTATTGATGGTGGGTCTTTTAGTTAGTCGAATGACTTACAATGCTACTTGGTTTTTTTCCAAACCAAACATATATTAAGTCGACTAAGACAGAATCTGGGTAAATCCATCGGAAGCAAAATTTTCCTTTTAAAGGTCGTTACTCATTAGTGGAAACAATCCTATTCTGAATGTTAGATGATTGATGGCATATCGTTCACATTCATCAGCCAATTTTGTTTAGCTTTAGCAGCAGCTGTTTTCAGCAAAAGTAGACCAAAGATGTACTTCTGTGAACTTAGTCATACTGCGAATTCCCATTAATCTATAAACCGTCTAATTTCACTCTCGATTCAGTCCCATATTCGACTAGGAGCATTCTTCTAAAAGGAGAATTAATGACACCACTGCATGACTAATCTTCAGTTGTTTACACGCCAAATCTTTGATATGCAACCAGCTCCATTTTGCGTTACGAGGGAGAGAGAGAGAGAGAAAGATTAGATTGATTCAAATCTGGAAAGCGAATATGACTAGACCATCACCTTTTGGATTCTTTGCTACAAAATGCGATGTGAAAAGTTCAAAACAATGGAGAACAGAGCTCATTGAGCAAGAACAAAATCTTAGGTCAAGTGCGGTTTGTCGAAAGCTTGTTGATTTCTCATAAAGAAGCGATATATATATATATATTTAGAGAGGGAGAGGTGTGGGTCAAAGGTCGGATAGACGTGAGACGACTGCAAAATAGGAGTGGACGTTTAAAAATCAGTAAAATGTCAAGGTGTCTATTCAGTTAATCTTCTTTAATTGAAGTTACAACAGTATTTGCGTGACGTACGTTTCCCCATTTCTATTACAAAGTGTTTGAAATCTTAGAAGAGAAACGACAATTTCACATCCATTCTAGCCAAAGGAATCCTCACTAATTACAACAAATCTGAGTTTATTTTATGAGACGCCTTCAGTACAAAATACGGTAATCAGAGTATTGATTAAAGCTCTGTGTGTATTTCATCCTTGTGAACCCAGGTATCAAGAACTACGTGATGGCCAACATAACAGGGCGTCTGTTGACCGGAAGTGTGGATGGAGTCACTCTGCGGTCGCCAAATGGCTCGGCCCTTGTGCGTCTGCCCATGGAACGAACGCCAAATAGCCAAGTTTACGTTAGCCAACTTCCAATGGATCCTCTGCCTGGTCACTACTATCTTCAGGTGTGCCCTTAACTTCATATTTAGATTATAACTGTAATTTTCTGTCATGATGAGGATAATTTTGTCGCAGCCAAATACTCCATTTCCTGTAAAGCTTACTTTATTACATTCCTCAGTGATCTATGAACTGGTGGGTGTGTCTGCAATGACAATTCAAGAATCGCATGTCCCACTGGTAGTTAGAATGCAAGTATGATTGATCTAAGCGCGTTTAAAAATAAAGATACTGCCATATCTTAGGAATGAGATGATGGTTTTAAACAAGATGTGACCCCTAAACCCAATGTCTGCCCCTGTTCCAACCCTCTTATTAGACCGGTGTTAGGTGAGCAATAAATAGTACAAGTGGTCCTTATTATTTACACAAGACTAAGATGGGAATCGCTTTGGGACTAAAACGGATATATAGTTGTGGTTGTAAACATACAAATAAAACACTTCGGAAATGCCATCTTTCGTTTGTTGATGGTAACAAGTAACTTGAGCGCACTCTGTGCTTGCTCTGCACCAATCAACTTAAACCAATTAGCTGCATATTTGCACTACATAGCCATCGTAAACTTCTTACTGAATTTGTTTGTCCTTTAGTATCAATATTAAGATTTCTTGCATTGATACTCCACCTTTTAACGCGGAGAATGAACGCTTCCATATATAAACTTCTGTACTATTAATAGGTATCAGGTCAAAGAGTAATAGAAATTTCGTCATCCGTATTAAGTTTTAATGATTGATGCAAAATTTACAAATCAGTGGTGCGAGTACTCAAGTTTTGCATCGAATTGAAGAGTTATGTAAGGCTTCTAGTGGGTGTAATTTACTCAAATGTGCTTATTCGAGTTTATTGAAGTGTCGTTAGAAGGCATTTCGGAAATTCCAAAAGTTATGGGTCATAGAATGCGCCTTAGATAAGGTATCAAGAAAACTTGAAAATGGTGGCCCCAAAAATGTCAACTTATTGTAACTTCAGATCTCCATATTCCGTCAAGCTAAATGTTTCAAATTTGATCAATAGGTTACGGGCCGTGACAGCCAGGGTTACACATTCCAACGTTACTCAAAAGTGGCTCTTTTGGCAAGACCAGCTCGTCCTTCGGTTGTCACCTGCCCAGCCAAACTTGAAGTTGCTCGAGGGACCACTGCTCATCTTACTTGCCTTATTGACAGTGAGGTGCCATTCAGTGTCAAGTGGTACCAAAACGACCGCCCAATCACTGGATTCCCAGGAGAGCATCAGATTTACAGGTTAGTTAATAATTTTAAAATTTGTGATCATGTCTCACAAGCATAGAAGCTTGAGTTGCGTCTCCACTTATGCCCCCCTCTAGTGTACCAACAAATGTAACTTACACATTGTATGATGTAAATGAAGAATCACAAGGAATCTACGCCGTTGAAATGGTTCCAGCAGGAGCTGGACAAGATGCAGGACCAGGAAGAGTTGGCAAAGACAAAGTGGCTTTAGTGATTCTTCGTACGCGTTTCACAAATACTGTTTGTCATACTTAAATTTGCCTTTTTTCATGAATTTCCTCCCATTCCAGCGCCTCCACCTACGGTTCTGATACCGAGAAACGCAAGCGTTGAACCAAATGGAGTTGCCCGGCTCATGTGTACAGTGTTTTCCCAAGCAGATAAAGTGGATATAAACTGGTATCGTGGTGATTCAATTCGCTTTAAAGTGAAGGATGGACGCAGATACTCAATTCATATGTCTGGAGGTGGCGAAATGTCACCAGTTGGTCAGACATTCACGAGCACTCTTCAGATCACGTAAAAGACAAATTTTCGCATTAAAAAGAATAATTGCAAGTAGATAAATGTCTTACCAAGTTTGTATTTTAAATAGAAACGTCCAGGATAGTGATATCGGCCAGTACATTTGTGAAGCAGAGCATAAAGGTGGCGTTAGTTCAGCCGTTGGATTCGTTATAATTCACGGTTAGTTCGAGGAGATGAATGTATTTAAAGTATATAGCTAATTCGATGAGGTTAACCAGTTGCTTTCTCCTTCAGTTCGACCAAGCGTTACGGCTGAGAGCGAGGGGGTGGAGTTCAAAGATGGTGGTCGTTTGGTTCTTTCCTGTCGTGCTGAAGGTCATCCACCTCCCGAAATCTCTTGGAGCTTCAATGATGTGCCCATTCCAAGGGGTGAAGAACTACAGATGGCATCGTCAAGAATCACGATCCTTGATGAATATTTGGTAAGTAAGCTGGTATATATTCATTTACGTAGAACCGCAAGAAAGAAAATTAGTTACTTGAATTGCTTCAGTGCAATAAGGAAGTCTGTTCTGACCGAATCTATGATCGTACTTTTGGGCGAATAGGTGGAAAAACACCCACCGCTTTAACACCGTGCAAGAAGGCAGACATTGTATCAAGTCAGCCAAAAGATAGGGAAAAGAGGTAAAACAATGACAAAGCGATAGACATTTTACGCAGCAAATTGAAGCCATATAAATAGCAATGTAAGAAAGGGAGAGCTTTGGAAGGCCAGGCATATTTTAAGGACAAAATGGAATGGGGTTCTTGACCCATCGACTCAACTCTGCGCTTGTTCCGTTCAGCCCACCGAACAGATACACTGCCTGTATCTTCTATAAAATTGCATCAATACGAGGAATGGGACCAAGATCTGACTACTAACTGGATGACATAAAGTAACTATGACACAATTTAGTCCCTTACTATTTCCCCCACTTTTCTGAAAGCTTTTCAGTTCAAAATGGTGAGTATGACCATATACATTTGTGAACATTTGCTTTGGATTTTGGAATCAAAGGGTCAAGATAATAATCAGTGTATAGTTTTTTGGTCAGTTTGAGGCCTTTGAGTGATATTAGGTAAATATCAATTCGTAATCGAATTGGGAGGGGGAAGGGTCATGTAATTTAAGTCCCGATGACGTTTGTACATTTGAAGAAGAAATTGTTACCCACAGGAATCACGACTTATCATCTCACCTGCGGAGTCCACTGACGCTGGTCGTTACTCCTGTTTTGCGGTTAACTCAGCTGGTGAATCACAAGCTGATATACTAGTCTCCTTCATTGCACGTCCAGAGATTATTCGCATCGACGCAATCAAAGAAACTCCTCAAGAAGGTGAAAGACAAACTCTACGTTGTCTAGCTAGTGGCCAGCCTCCACCGCTAATAAAATGGGAATTCAACGGCAGTCCCGTAAGCTCCAGCCACTTCTTCCCGATGTATTTTTTAGTCAATGGGAAATATTACAGCTTCTTCCTTTACGTTAATAGGTGGGTGAAAGCGCTAACATTAGACTCAATCAAACCACTGGCGAGTTAGAAATCCTCAATCTCAAGCGTCACATGAGTGGAAAGTGGACTTGCGTTGCCGAAAATGTTGCTGGAAGTACTCGAACTTCAGTTTCCATGGAAGTTGGATGTAAGTTCGCAATCGTTGTTAGTATGCCCAGTGGTTTGTGAATTAGAAATAAATGTATTCTCCGTTTAGTCAAACCGAAAATGGATAGCACGGTCATGCAGGAGCGTATTTTCGGAGACTTTGCAGCAGATCTGGTGGTTCCGTGTATTGTCGATGGAAACCCACCACCACAAATCAAATGGTTCAAGACGGTAGGAGAGAATCAAGTTCCAGTAACCTATGGTGGCAAATATACTCTTACGGCGGACAATTCTCTTCATATATCAAGTAAATTAGCATATTTTATCTATGGGTACAAAGATTTCATTTTAATTAAATAAAAGATAGATGATGGGGGTTGAGGGTAGGGGGTGGGGGTCACGAGTAAAGTTTCCTATTTTCCATTTATTTGATTCATTTATGGCACAAAATAAGTTTGTCTTAAAATTACTTTTTATCGACAGGAAATTGTTGGAGAGTAGGCTGTAGAGACAAATAGAGAAGGTTTGTTAAAAAAACATAAACTGTTTCTTTATGTTTACTTATTTATTTATATCTAATGGTAGGCTTTGTGTTAGTTACCATTAGCCCTTTAGTTGACTTCGGACCCCACAGAGGGGAGTGACATTTAACTCCTCAAAATATCAAGATTGAGAACAGAAGAGTGATTTAAAGATGTAAATGGGCAGGCACAAAAGTAGTGATAAAGGTAAGGTGAGTACTGTGAAAGTAGTGGAATATGCCACAGAGTAGAGTAGTTTGAAGTCAGAAGTCAATTGAGGGTTAATAGACATTTTAGGTGTATGTGTATACATTACCAAGTTTGCACCACGTGGAGGTAAGTCTATCATGAACCCTTGCTTCCTTTTATGAATTGAGAGAAAACAAACTGTAATTAAGAAAGAAAAAGAGAGGACTCATATCAGGTGGGGGGTGGGGGGGGATAGAGCGCTAGACAAAATGGTTTTTATCGAAGAGGAAGTCAAAATCCGTAGCCTCTGAGCTTGAGTCAAAGAGGGATGAAGTGGAGTGAGTATGCTCGGTTTAAGAAAGCATACAAACACTAGGATATAATTATATTCAAAACGTTTTAGCATCACAATAATCAAAAATAACTTTGGGAAGATTATGCTGATTTTCTTTCATGTCCGGCTATATATTCAAGTTGAAATTAGGTAAGGTTCATAAATTTAAGGATCTCATCATTTGACAGCTCATTAGATTAAAGAATAGTGAATATGTGGAAGCTTAATTTATTATCATAGAATAATCAGCTGCCACAGCAGATAATTGATCTTTTTATTTGCAAACAGATCTCAGCATGGAAGACGGAACAACCTTCGTGTGTGAAGCTTCGAATACATATGGCCGTGACCAATTCCATGTTACAGTTGAACTCGGTGGCATTCGTAAGCCTGTTTATTGAATACCCACTTAAATCAATTGATCTCCTCAACTTTGACTTTCAATAAACTTTTTATATATCGTATTCCAGGTGCACCTACCATCTCTTACACAGAACCAAGACAAATTGTGTTGGAAGGCAGCTCAGAAATGATCCTCAATTGTCCTGTTCTCGATGCCAAACCACCTGCTCAAGTGAATTGGCTCAAGAATAGTGTGGAGATTAATTTAGATGATCCTCGCTATGCCCTGCTTGACAATAGTCTTGTCATTCGTGGCATCACGGTATGAAAAAATGTGCAATTTACTCTGTAGTTAGGCGTTTTATCGCATATGCTAAAATTTAAATGCTAAATTAGATGGACGATGAAGCCGTGTATACCTGTGTGGCTTACAACGTAGTTGGAAGATCTAAAATCGATATCGAGTTGGATGTTCAGAGTAAGTAAACATTGCATTAACTTAAAGCATTTATTTACATGTATTTATATCGTACGCAGTTGAAGATTTTTTTAAAATACTGCTTTGCTTTGTGAAGAGGGAGGTTGCAAAAGACACCTTGCGACATGGTAAAACAAATATCTGACAGGTTTTAACCTGAATGAATGCCGCAATTAATAAATTTATAGTTTTCTGAAAGATTTACCAGCTTATTTTGCCTATTATTGTCATACTGTGCTCACCTTTTGACATTGTAATGATGGTAAAAAAATTTTCTTCGAAAGTGAAGAGACCGACAGAGCTAACTCAATAGTTTTATTTTTCCCCTTAGGTTAGAAAATGCACGCTTAGTAGATAAAAGGGTTTTTATCTTGGCCCATTTCCAATTTAACGAGTTGTCTGCAGATTTCTGGAGATTCAGGCAACTGGATAGCTTATTTTTGAGGTTTCAGCATGAGCTTGAAAACTCAAAAAATTGGCGTTTAAAAGGAGGCTCTAAACCTTATTTCAAATGAAAACTTAAAGTGTGTTTTGGGCTCCCATGAAGTTAGTTCGTAATTAAATCGAATCAATACGTCTTTATTAGCGATTCAAGGATATTTGCTGCTTAATTTCTCAGCCCCTAGTTTAAGTTGGGTTGGCAATTAAGTACAGTTGATGAATGGAACTAACCCTTAACACAGAGAAAGAGAATAGCATGACTGCTGTGGATTCCGACGAATTATGATTCATTGTTAACCAAAGGATACTGTTATATTTACCTAGTCCATTAGATTTTGATATTGGCCTTCTTCTTCAGCCAAACCTAGATTCGTCACAGATGATCCTCGTACGACAACAGTGGAAATAACCCAGGGCAAGATATTGGAGTTGCAATGCAAGGTGGAAGGCGATCCGAATCCTGAAATAGAATGGCGCAAGGATGGACGTATGGTGACTCCCAAGAGGGGAGTCGGTGCTCCTGGTGGTCTCAGTGGGGTTGTTCTTTCCCCTGATGGATCGACTTTGACTGTGTACTCTGTCTCAGATTCCTCTAGCGGAATTTTCACTTGCTCAGCATTCAACACACATGGTGCCGTATCAAAGGAATTCCATGTTAATGTCAAGAGTAAGTATTCTGTGGGATAAAAATTTCTCCATTAGCGAAATATGTGCGTGGATGATCGTACCGTCTTTAGAAATTCGATGTTTCATTAATTCTGATTGTTAAGGCTCCGGTTATTGAGAATCTGTTTAAAATCAAAGCTTGACATCTCCAATAATAATCGATTTTGCTTTTGCAGCTCCCCCTGAAATTTCCAAGGAAGGTTTGAGCGAGATTGAAATTGCACAAAACGAGATGACAATCTTGACCTGCATGCTGAGCTACGGACAACCACAACCATCTCTAAGGTGGTATAGGAATGGTCAACCACTCGTGGATATCCCCGGTCGCGTCCATATAGTTGACAATGGACAGAGTGTCGTAAGGTTATCGTACTTGCTGCTGTGTTAGTAAATTTGAGCTTGGAGTATTAGATGGTTTTTTTAACTTTAAGGAAATACAAGGAAAGAACGAAGAGGACTCAGGATCTTATGAATGTCGAGCTGAGAATGAAGTTGGTACTGACTCGCGTTTCTATCAAGTTACAATCCTAGGTAAGACTTCATCTTGGTTGCTATGACTCATCATCATCACCATTCACCTAGTGAATATTGAGCCGACTGTGTTTTTCATTTAAGTACCACCGATATATACTTCGACACATGCTCGACGACGTCTTTTGGTGCGAACTGGTGAACGCGTTGACTTGGAGTGTGGAATGGCCGGTTTCCCTGAACCAGACATTTCTTGGACATGGAATGGTCGTTCGCTGGAAGATGATAAACTAGGGGATCTTGGAATGAGCATTCGTCCTCAACGAGAAGGCACCTCTCAGCTCACCATCATGTATATGAATGGTGAACTGCAAGGAAAGTAAGTTACACTAATCAAGATTGATGTCATAGGGAATGATCCATTTATAACATATGCCTCATTCTTCTTAGCTACACATGCGTCGGTCATAATCGTGGTGGCACGACTTCAATGGATTATGAAGTGATCCTTTTAAGTGAGTTTAACTTTTATACTCCCTTAACTATGTGTACTTTCATAATGCTATCCATTTGTTATTAAATTAGGCCAGCCGAAGATCATAGATTTTGTTGAGCGAGCAGTCGTATTCCTAAATAACACGATAACCTTAACCTGTGGAGCCTCAGGGACACCGAAACCGAATATTTCCTGGTGGTTTGATGGTACACAAATAGTTCCAAATATAACTCCTGGCTATAGGTAAGGATTCGGTTTTGTATGCACTTTTTTATATTATTAAATCTTATAGCTTATTTGTTTCTGATCCCAATCAAGGAGGGTGTCGTAAGTTGTAGCACTCGTTGTTTAGTCTTGTAATTTGCATGCCTTTTTTCAAATTTTTCGCTCTAGTTCCCATGGAAACTCTTCATAGATCTGCATTAGAATGACAATCAATGTCAAAATCAGAAAACAATGCATTTGCATTGAGAAATGACTCAATTCTTGATCTAATATTTGACCATACTAATAAATTATTAAAAAATTCTGAATATGGGAAATAACCTAATAATTTGTTAATACTTGCTTTAGGAACCGGCATGTCTTATTCATCCAATATGGAAGCTCTACTAAATATATTTAGTAGTATTTGACAATTGAATTCGGTAGTCCACTAGCTAACATTTACTCTTCCCTCCCATCCTAAATATAGAATGGTTGGTGATGGAAATCTTATGATTTACAACGCGCAACGCTATCATGGTGGAGAGTACAGGTGTATTGCTGAAAATGAAGCCGGTCGGGACACGAAAGCTTCTATGATTACAGTTTTTGGTAGGCATTGGTTTTTGACTCATAAACAAGTACTTATTTCAAATTAAGTAGTGCTGTTCTATATATGTATATACTTATAATAGAACCCTCGGGCGAACCTCCGATATCGCAGAACCTCACCACTATTTCGATGGGAGGAAATATTACGTTCACATGTAAACTCACTTCCAACCCCCCTCCGAAGATCAAGTGGTACAAAGATGGCGTGGAAATCTTTTCAATTATACCACAAGGTTTATCATTTGCTCATTGACGTTAGCTAGAATATACATGCTTTTTCAGTCGACCATAGCTTTATATATATGATCAAACTTAAGCTTCACCACTTGATTTAGCTCGATTATGGCTATCAAAGGATGAAACCACTTTGACCATCTTGGATGTTCAACCTGAGGATCAAGGTCAGTATAAATGTGAAGCCGAAAACATTCCTGGAAATTGGGATCTATCTTACTATCTTGTGGTTACCTGTAAGTACATTCTGTAAATCTGCGTCAAAGAATCTTCTAACTTTACTGTGGTGTCATGCTAATGTTCTTGTTATTTTAGCTTCTCCGGCTATCTTGGTTGGCTCCTCGTCTCGAAAGAAGGAGAAAATACGTCAAGGACATGACCTCCGTCTTAGATGTATCGCTGTCGGCCATCCTGAGCCTACATACCAATGGTTGAAAGATGACACACCAATTGCTTCCACTAGCATTCCAATGGGAGCCGGACAGTCGAGTGAAACTGTAGAGGTCTCAACAGTGAGCAAACGATATGCTCTGCACGACCAGGGCCGTGAATTGGTCGTTTTCAGTACCAAGTCTGAAGATGCTGGTTCATACACGTGTATTGCTGTTAACACTGTTGGCCGCGACCTACATACAATGGAAGTTTCAGTGACAGGTAGGCTAATGTCGTTGAAAATCCTTTATAGGAGCGGAGCATGTTTAATTTTATCTTCTTCGACTTTTAGCCAAACCTTTCTTCGAGGACGGTTTGGATCACGAGACTCCAGAGTTGACTCGTGGACAATCTGCTTTAATCTGGTGCAATGCATCTGGAACCCCGACACCGAAAGTCAAGTGGTCTACGGTATGTCTCCATGTGTTCCTTAGTTCTGTGTCATTGAGGTGCAAACATGGTAGTCAATTTCTTCGTTGTATAGCATGAGGGAGACATCGATCCCGTGGACAAAAATCTCCAAATTCAGCACGAGGGGCGAGCACTTTTCATCGTCAATGTAACACAAGCCACAGCAACTCGGTACACTTGCATTGCTTCAAATGATGCTGGCGAGGCCAGACGCATAATTGATCCAGTTATTGTTTGTAGGTTTACACTAACATGAATTGAGTTTTTGGCCAGGTTTGACCAGGTTTACTAATTTACTCGTATCCTTTATTGTATAGATGCCCCAGATATTATCAGTCACGAGGGTGAGAATCCACGACCAGTGATTAGAAATGGAGAGACGCAGTTGTCCTGCGATTGGGATGCCTATCCTGACGCCAAAGTTGAGTGGTTCAAAGGCGGTGAACCAATCAACAGCCATGATTTTCCTAGGGCTAACTTCTCAGTCCGTAACGCAATGGTAAGAATATAGATGTTTTAGGTTTATATGAAAAGGCAGTTTTAAAAAGTATTACTTAAAAGTTATTAATTATAACAATTTCAATAGCAAGGTAGAGGTTAAACCAAAGGCCCCCTTAATTGCATAAATGGGCAAATCTGTATCTCTACAAAATATCAATTAAACATGGAGGACGGAAGTTTAATGTATTGGGAACCACGAATAATAGACCCAGAATATCTGCTAGAAAACACGTCATAACTGACTCACAATTACAACTTAGATCACACCCACTTAAATAAAAAGATCGGACTTGTGTTAACAAACGAGAGAAGCCAGTCATACTCAAATTGTTGCATTTCTAAGGTGTTTTATCGTGTGATCCGAACTAGAGAGCCTGGATACTATAGCAGTCAAAGGGATTATGAGGAAGAAAAAAGCATGAAAAGAAATATTGATTTTATCGGACTAACCTCATCTTATAAGAGCATCTTAGATCTTAGCCCTAGGTCGCTGAACTATCTATTATAGAACAATTTAGGTTGTGTAATACATTAAATGGGTGTTTTATCTGGAATTGTTATCTCTCTTCACAGCTCTTTCTACATAATGTCCAACCACAGGATGCCGGGATCTATCGTTGCGTGGTTACCAATAGAATTGGTAGTACTAAGCGTCAATGGAATGTCAACGTTATGAGTAAGTGTAATTTATTTTGTGTAAAGAATCAAACCAAGAAAATTTTGACTGATCACTTAATAAGGTGGTGATAAGGGTAGCTTAATAAATGGGTTCATTCATCTGATGCATTCCTTCAGTAAGCACCATACGAACTCACTGCATGCGTTGGGAATGAACTAGGCCAATGCACTGAAAAACAAATAAAAAATCGATTTTCCAATTAAAATTCTCGCAATAAAACATCGAACAATAGTGCAAAGGTTTCAAATCATGCGAACTCGGGTAGTTTTTACTCTGATTCTTCTGCTTATTTCCGTTAGTCCAGAGTATATTCCTATTTTATATCCAAGTGATGGAATCATATTTGCGGGTTGCAATTTGCCTATGTGCTGGAGTGGTATGTTGAGAGGATTCAAATGTAGACGTGGAATGTGTAAGATCATCTGCAGTGAGGAAACATGCTTTGAAAATGCGTTTTCTGTTGCTTATCCGCCTCCTCCTCCTCCTCCTCGAACGACATCGTCATCTCCTAGGCGGTCTCAGAAGAAAACCTCCGAGAACATGGTTGATGTTCGAGTTGATCGGAGTAAAAAGGAAGCCTCTCAGAGAGGTTCAAAGGCACTTGATATTAAAAATCCGCTGCAACTCTATTCAAAATTTGACAATTGTACTTCAAAGATATGTGCTCATGGAAACTATAGTGGATTTGAATGCTGGAATGGATTCTGTTCAACTGTTTGCAAGGGGGATAATTGTTACCATTTCGTTGTTTCTACATAAATGACAGTATTGATACACATATTAATGTTGACATATTCATTTATCTTTGTTTATAACCTTAATTATGCCTATATAAAACCTGAGGTTTCTGATAATGGAAAGTTAACACCTTTTACTGTATTCTAAATGAATTCAGTGAAATTTGAAGTGGCTTCCTTTCATCGATTTGAAATGCACTTAGAAAATGGTAATGTGTTTTTAGTATTTACTACATGGTTTATGGAATGAATAAATTTCGTAGTTATATTTACATTTTTGTCACTTGATTGATTATAATCGATTTCTCTACAGACCAGTGAAACTGATGGAGATTGAGTCAGTTCAATATGGTTCGTCATATTTTGTTCGATCGAATTCCATTTCTCCGTCTGAAGCTTACACACCCCTATAAGGTGGCAGACTTCTCATTTAAGAGCTACATTTTAGGCAACTAAGGTTATTTAATAGGAAAACATTATTTGGTTGGTCACGTAGACCAGGCATTAAAAATTGACAACTTTATTACCCATGACAAAGCATCCTAATATCGGGGTTTTTAGAAGTGGGATGCAAATGACTATTTAGATCAGTAATTAAGTCAATAGAGGGCTGGGAGATGGAACAGGTGAATCACAAATACAAATCGAGCAAATAAAAGGTTCTAAATTCATAAAATTTTGTATTCAAATTGCATAAATTTTACTAAACGTGCATTGTTCATTGATTCACTTTCCTATGCTCCAAGAGTCACATTTAAAATTTCTTGACTAGGTTTTAGTTCTGTGCATGCCGAGTGGTTGATTATAAGAGATACGAAACAGTATACCTTTTCCTTTCATGGCTACTATAGCACAAAGCCACTAACTAGCGTGCCATATACACTGTAAGGTTATAATTGATAATTAAGTTTCTATCATACTTATATCCCCTTAGGTATCAAAGTATCTATTTAGAATAAAATATTTCTCAATGGCAAGCTACTGATTTATGAATTCTCACTAATACGACTACATGGTGATTATAATTATTAAGTTCAAAATTCTTTAGCATATCCGGCAGTTGACAGTTCATATGCTATTAATCGGATTGAACTTTAACCTAGAACTGTATATGAGTAAATATAAATTTTACTTTGACTTTAAAAGAACTTTGTTAATTCTAAAACTGTGCAGTATGTCCGTGTCAGATGAATGATTTAATCACAGTTTGAAATGTCTACTTGTAACCTTTCTATCAGGTCCACCGAAATTCCTCTTCACAAGTGAGGAAGGCATGCAAAGTGTGTCGCTTGGGGCTAGCGTCGCCCTCTTCTGCGTTGCCGATGGTGAACCAAAGCCAATAATTCGGTGGACTAAAGATGGCCTTCCCATCACAAATGAGATGCAAAGTGGAAATTACCAAATCTCCGAGGATGGCGTCCACCTTCGAATTCCATCTGCTGAAGAAAATGATGCTGGACGTTATGTCTGCAACGCTGTTAGTCCATATGGCGAAGTCAGCAAGCAATTCGATATCAAAGTTACATGTAAGTGCAACTCTATAAGTTACTTGCCCTATTAAGTATGATAGCCATATGACCTAGAACTTTCATGATAGGTTAAATCGTGCTACTAACTAGTTTTCAGTAGATTATATAAAAGATGAAAAATTCTCCATATTTCAACCCCACAGATGCTCCCCGTTTGGACGGTGATGGCCAACGACAATATAGCATTGAACGCACTGTGGGAAGTAGCGTGGTGCTCGAATGTCTTGTTATCGGTAACCCAACTCCAGGCATTGAATGGTACAAAGATGGCGCTAAACTCGATCCACTACCGTACCGGTAAAATATTTTGAGACAAATCACTTTCATATATCTTGGGTGTATACTACCTTGATAGCTTGTCAAATTTTAGCTATCGTCTTTTCAATCAGAAACGCGAGTTGGAAATCCTATCCATTCAGCCTGTTGATGCTGGACGATATAGATGTGTCGCTTCAAATGAAGCTGGCTCTTTGGAAGTGAGCGTTGACTTAACCGTTGGAGGTAAGACTGTTGATGAAGTTTTTCTAGCATAATTTTATTTGAAAGTGATCTCACGCTGATATTCCGACATCCTAAAGCTCCACCAAGGATCGATAGAGGTCGTCTACGCAGTGAATACGTCATGAAGGAGGGAGACGAGTTGGTGCTACCGTGTCCAGCAACTGGTTCCCCTGATCCACGTCTTGCTTTCACTCGAAGTGAAATCGATCCGATAACAGATAAAATCGTTGATAGACCACTTGGAGAATATAGCTCATCATCCAATGACCTTCCTCTTATTTCAGAAAAGGATTCCATTTATAGACGAACTGTCGTTTCTCAGGTAATTATATACAGCTCCTTAGATTGAGCGTTATCCAAAAAAATAGTCCCAATAATTATATTCGCATCTTTTAACAGGAACGTCAGACTATGACTATCTTCAGAGTTCAAAAAAGTGATTCTGGTATGTACCAATGCAATGCTAGTAACGTAATCGGTTGGGATACTATGAAATATACTGTTCGTGTGAGAGGTAAATATTACCTTAATTGCTTATATTTCGATTGCAAATGTATGTTCAATGTCTATTTTGCCCTTCTTTAGTTCCACCAAGTTTCGATACCTCAAATATGCAGCCTGAAGTTCAATGGTTTGTCAATCAAACACGCTTCCTTGACTGTCCACTTCACGGTTTTGCTGATCCACCAGCAAAGGTGACTTGGGAACGCCATGGTGTACCAGTGGTAAGTGGACCTGATGTCCAAATTTCTCCCGATGGGTCTCGACTCACAGTACCTCGAGTTAGTCTTTCTGATGGTGGTAAATATCGCTGTGTCGCTTCGAACGAAGTTGGTCGCACTTCACAGACTTTTCAAGTACTCGTATTTGGTAAATCTTAAATTACTTTACACATTTCAGGCCCCTTTAAAGCACCCACCATAAATCAAAGTGATTTGTTTTAGTACGTCCTCGATTTCTGGATCCGATTCGCAAGATCAATATTGAAGCTATTCAAAACCAGACAGTGCATATGTCTTGCGAGGCTACTGGCGACCCCACACCCCGCATTACTTGGTTCAAGAGAGATGTGGAGCTCTTTCCGCCTGGATCATTCTCTACCTCGGGCACTGGTTCACTTCACGATTCACCAAAGAATGTGATGCCTCTACAGGGGGATCAGATCTTGCAAATCACCAATGTGCAAAAGAGTGATGCAGGAGATTACATCTGTATGGCATCAAACGGTGGAGAAGCAACTGAGAAGAAGTTTAACCTCACTGTAATAAGTAAGTTTAAGAAGTAAATTCCATCAGAGCAATAATTGAATGTGTATTTAAACATACACACCTATTTCTAGTGCCTCCATCAATACTCAAATCCAAAGGATCTCCAGAAGCCCAATCAACTCGTGAGTACGTCCCAGTGACCTTCCACTGCCTTGTTCGTGACTATAACAGCACTCAGCCAGAAATAATGTGGACGAAGGATGGATCACCAATTCTTATGTCCGAGGATGGTGATTACTTTGTGGTACAAGATGGTGGACAAGTGCTAACGGTTGTACGACCAACCTCCAGTGAAATTGGACTCTACAGATGTGAAGCTAAGAACAAGGCTGGAACTGATAGCCATCAATTCAAACTCACCGTAACAGGTGAGCTAATTATTCACGAAACAATTGCATCTTTTCTTTCAGTACACAATAGAAACATAATGGTTTCACTGTAATATGAGGTTTTTTACACCACATGGTTCATTAACAGGTGAATATTTTGTCGTAATGAGAGTGGGGGGGGGAGGATGCCGAGTTTGGCCAGGAATAAATAGCGGTAAGAGTCTGCCGTTGAGTCAATGCCTCACAATAGGTAATTATGTGATATTGGAACAGTTTTGTGTTATATTTTGACTTGATATTGGTTAACAGTGCAGATAAGGGGGACTGTTGAAAGAAATCCCTAGGGAATTGGTGTAGGTAAAAGTTCTAGATTCTGCGTAATTAAATCAACTTGTTGAGTTATTGCCCTTTAATACTAAACAAGATATGGAAAGAGAGAGAGAGAGAAAAGGCTATGTCGTGAGATAGAAGCGAAACAGGATTCCATATGTTAAGTCTGAGGGAAAAAGGTCCAAGTAAACGATCATTGGATGACGACAAGTAACCTGAGAAATTCAAGGGCGCTGTAAATAGTGCCCATTGGCTATACCTATGCTATACTAAACATATACAATGGCTATGAAGTGGCAATCTCTAGATTCGGCGTTGAAGATCATACCGTTATAATGGAATCGGTACCATTCGCCATAAGGTCATTGAACATTCACCGGCACGTGATAGTAGGGCAAGATATGAAGTATAGATAGGAAAAATGATCCTCTTATACCCTCGAATTTCCGAAATTTAGCTTTGTAGCTCCTTTTCTGAGCTAGAATATTTTTACGGTACATTGTAGGAAATGAACGAACAAGAGAAATGTTGCCTGTTGAATCAAAGAGAAGGGCATATGTCATTTTATTATGATCCACATAGTTCACTGCTCTTTAAGCACTATAGGTATATCCAATAAGTATAATTCTTAAATACAGAAAAATGTCACTCAATTATTAATCTTCTAAACAAGCGTTTGCTGTCAAATTTAGCTGCTCCTCGCTTCCCACCTGACTTTGTGCGTTACCGTGAGAAGATAACTCAACAAATTGGAACACAGGTGAAACTAACCTGTCCGGTGGTTGGCTCACCCTCACCAATAGTGACGTGGTACTACAACGGCTCCCCACTTCTACCCTACACCCTGCCCTCACACTACAACTTCGATATGGAGAGTCGAGTGTTGCAATTCATTGCTGGTGAAAAGGACTCTGGTGAATATCGCTGTATTGCCCATAATGAGGCAGGAAATATATCCAAGACGTATGAACTCGAGATTATAAGTAAGAAAATTTCCTTTACTCGATGAGAAATGACAAAATCTTGGGGGTTATCATCCTACCGTTGAATTTCAGTGCCTCCGCTTGTTCGACTTGATCGAGCTGAGATGCGGGAGAGAGAGGGATCGACGTTCACTGTCCAATGCATTGCTGAAGGCCATCCACCACCCAAGATTGAGTGGACTCGTAGTACTGGAGGTCTCTTCAGGATCGGTACTAATGTTGATCTAACGTAGGCTTTCTATAATTCATTTGAAGCATGCCTCAATGCAGTAGACCTAATATTTATGGAATGCACCTTTCTTGTGACCTTATAGTACTGGAATTTTGACAATCACCGACGCTCGAAAAGAGGATACAGGAGTGTATACGTGTACGGCTACGAATAAGATAAGCGCGGATTCCAAGACTGTTGACATTCAAATTATTGGTAATCTTTCCTTGCATTATATTTATAGTACCTAAGTTAATACATAATAAGAGAATATTATTTTTTGTTGTGATTAAAATTCCATTTCAAATACTAATAGTTGAAGGTGCTTTTACGAGATAAAAATAGAAATTTTGAACCTAGACGTAGTGACTCACATTTTTCAAACAGTCGAGTGAAGGTAATCAGGCTGATAGTTAGTTTTTATTCCCATTATCATGTGTTAATGTATCTTGAAAAAGCAGAGCTTGTTCCTCGCATTCTTTTCTGCTACGAAGATAGTTTATTTATCTATTTCAAATGGCAGGCGTTTTGATAACTATCATTAGCAATTTAGCTGACTTCGGGCATCACAGATGGAAGGTTCATCAAAGTAGCAGAGAGTCGAGGGGTGGGGAACAGAAGAGCGATTCGCAGATGCAAAAGAGATTACAAGGTAGAGAAAAGGGTAAGGTGAGTACTGTGAAAGTGGTGGAATATGACGTACTATGGTAGTTTGAAGTCAGAAGCCAACTACCGGTTTATAGACTTTTTTTGGCCTTATGAGTGTATATTGCCCAGGGTGCACCACGTGGAGGTAAGCCTATCGTACATTCCTCTACGAAGGTAGTAAAATCAGAAAAATGTCTTCTAATGTATGCCGATACAGACAAATCCAACTGAGCTGATTTTTCCCAGTCAATTAATGACATGACTTACACGAGGTATTTATCCTTAGAACGTCCTGTTATTCAAACGACAACTGCCCCAATCATCGTTAACGAAGGTGATCAAGTTGTGCTACCTTGCACAGTCACTGGAACCCCCCCGATTCAAATCCAATGGCGTCTTCCTTCTGGACAACAGATCACGCAAGATGAAATACTTGGATTCCAAGTTCTTCCACAACAGGGTCTCTTGATTGAACGAGCGACGAGATCTCATGCTGGCCTCTATAGATGCTCTGGTAGTAATGAAGCTGGAAGTCAGAATGCTGTTATAAATCTTGAAGTCTTAGGTGAGTTGAACAAACTGCGCCACAAACTAAGATCATTGCGCCTTGCGCTTTATTTTCACGTGCTTTTTTATTTAAGTTCCTCCTAAATTGGTTCGACCAGTAAGCACCGAGGCCTCTGGTAGAATGAACTCCGTCCTTCAATTGAATTGTGAGGTTGAAGAAGGCGTTCCTGCACCAATTGTCATTTGGGAACGCAATGGAGTCTCATTCAGTCGAACGAAGAGCTTCTACACAACAACCGATTCTGGCCTCTTCATTTTCAATGCACTTAAGTAAATTAATTATAGATTTCAATCAGTATAGTTAAGCGAATTAATTTTACCTAAATAATAAAAGCACTTAAGGCTAGTTATTGTGCTAGACGATTGCCCATGACTGTGAATTACCAAGCAATACTCAAATTTTGGATGACAGGGGAATGAGAAAAAATGAAAACCCCTTTGCTTAAGGAGGCGGGAGGGAGGGAGGGGGGAGGGAGGGGGGAGGGGGGTCGAAAAGAGTCTATTCTACTGAAGTTGAGTACTACTATATTGATCCACACGGAGAACTGATTAAAGTAACCCCAATCAGGTGCTAGGAGGGAAAGAAGAATGAGAACGTGGGATGATCGATCTTTTAAGGAAATATTCCTCTCTTTAGTAAACACCAGCCACTACTCCAAAGTTATTAGCAAATAATTACCAATGCAGACTATCACAGTCGTACCCTCTTTGTTAATGAAAATGAAATTTGATAATGCCACAAAACATTAGAACGATCTACCAGTTGGTAGATATCTTTTTCCAGTAACTAGATGTTACAAAATAGGCTAAATGAACATAACTCATTTACGAATCGATATGAAATCATAATATGGAATTTCCCTTATGAAATGACCCATGAAATAAAGTGGGACTATTCAAATTTTAATTTAACAAAACGGTTGACCTGACAAATTTGGGTCAAAATAGAGTATACTTCCTTTGCTCCATTGACACACACTCCCCACACTTAAATCTCGATGTTTGGATATCCATAATCCCTTGGATGTCCATAGAGAATAAATTAGTGCCAAGTATTCTAATTTGAGGGACGCTTGAACCAGGTAAGGTACTTAATGGAGCAAAAAATGGTCTTTAGGCATTCATAATTACTAGAAAAAGCCAAACTCAATTGAGCGCAAATACCTAAGCGATTAAAAAGTAATTATTTCGGATATGGCTAAATTTTCAGCTAACATAAGCGTTTTATCATCCAATCATTCCATTTAGGCCACAAGATGAAGGTGAATGGGTCTGTGTGGCACGAAATCCTGCTGGTGAAGATAGGCTTGTGTTTAATATCCTCGTCAGCAGTAAGTATTCTTGAATTAGAATAGCTTATTGGCTAAACACATTATTAATTGACCGTTAACGTTCTTACCCACACTTTCCAGCTCCACCTAAAATTACGATGCCACTCTCAAGTGTTGGTTATGAAGGCCAGTCGATAACTCTTGAATGCCAAGTTGATGGTAAACCAATGCCAGAAGTAACTTGGGAGTTCAAGAACGAACTGGTCACCCTCGCTCTTGGTTCAAGAGCTCGACTTGACACTCCTACTCGTCTCACTATACACAATCTTCAGGTGAAAAAATTGTCAAACAACCATTGCTACAATTTCATTTGAGAATCATGATTGATCATTTTCTCTCTTTCTGGGTTATAGCCCGAAGATGCGGGAAATTACTTCTGTATTGCGAACGTCCCTGGACAAGATCGAGTCTTGGACTCGACATATTTAACCGTTTTTAGTAAGATTTTAAGAAGGCAAACTTATTGATCTTTAGCAAGATATGATATTGATTTAATTTGACTGCTTTCAGCTGTTCCAACCTTCGTTAGTACACCAAATCGCTCAATGGAAGCGTACGAAGACAGATGGATTCAATTCCGATGTACCGCAGATGGTCACCCCAAACCAGACATCAAATGGACCTTCAAGGGCAATATGATTGGAAGTGGGTTTATTTGATGTGTGTCAGTTGCCCACCCTATAATAGCCTGATATAAATATAGATATTGAATCTAATGTTCACTTAAAGGTAACCCAAGCCACAACGGTATCGGATCATTGATCATCGGTCCACTCAGAGAATCGCATTCAGGACAATATGCTTGTATTGCTGTAAATGATGCTGGCAAACGGGAGCACTCCTTCCACTTCACTGTTAAGAGTAAGAACCCTTTATCTCAATAAAGTGCTTAATAACTTAAGTTGAATTAATTTACCATGTTTCATGCAGCTCGTCCCAAGGTTCATATGTATCAGTCGGATGAAGCCGTTAAAAGTAATTCTATGGCCAGAATCTACTGTAATGTGAGTGGCGACGCTGATTCAATTGTCTGGCTGAAAGATGGCATTCCGATTGAAAGTGATCGACGTGTCAATATTGAAAATGGCGGCACAAGTTTGGTCATTAGCATGGCTAGGGTAAGAGATAGCTAAAGCATGTCATAATTCCCCCCTTTTACAATTTAGTCAGCTGATAACGGTGTTTACCAATGCATTGCTGCCAACATGGTTGGCGAAGACCTTGGAGAACTTCGATTTGTGGTCGAGAGTGAGTTTTAGCGCTCAAGTCCACTTGTATGCATATAAGCAGGCTAATTTTATGGTGTAATTTGCATATTCAGGCAAGCCACAATTGGTTAAAATGCCTTCAAACATCTCATCCTCACTGGGAGAAATTGTTACCTTGGAATGCCAAGCCGAAGGCCATCCCACACCAATAATTTCATGGTACCATGATAATGCTTCCGTGAAAATGAGCGCGACGCATTCCATCATTCATAATGGTTCACTCAGGTGAGATTATCATTATCTTTAAATCCTTCTTAAGAGGCCAAAAGATTTGGCGCGTTTAAAGACCCTTTCACGCCTTTCAAAAAAGTGAAGAAAATTATAAACATGCGTCAAATAACTGATGTAACCAAAAAATGGGATACAACAGTCAAAAGTTAGACCGCAAAAGAATTTCGCACCCAAAAAGGCTCTAGGATAGCTTTTAATTTTAATTAAATAAGCAACAGTAAACTAAGCAATAATCAATACATTGTTTTGGGAGGAAATTATTTGCCACCTACTTGAGCGTGTTGTTTGAACTCACTTCTAGAATTCATGCTGAGTAAGCGGTCTCTATTTACACAAACCTGCCTTAACTTAGTCTTGCAACTTAAATTTAGTTTGAGTTCTTAACTTTTCTGGACGTTTTGCCGATCAAATGTCACGGACTATTGTCAAAAATCATAGTTAAAGGAAAATTTTTAATTTAAAAGGAGACTGACACGCTTTTGCGAATTGATTTTGCTGCATGAGTTGGTGGAGGTGATGGGCTATTTTTTCTTCTGCCCAATCTCGAAAGAGAGAGCAAAAAAAATAAAGTCCTTTGAGCAAATAAATGCGTTTCATCTTCTGTTTAAGCAAAAATTGTCTCCTTCACAAATGCCCGTGAAATATAAATTATTATTTAATAAACACCGAGTTACTACTATTTTTTTATAAATTTGAAATGATTGAATAACCTGATTCGTCGATGGCGTAAGACAAAGATTTGCAATTCAACTTGCTGATTTTAACTTTAATTTTAGAATTGTTGGAGTGAGTGAAAAGGACGAGGGCCTCTATCACTGTGTTGCCTCCTCCTACCAGGGAGAGGTTATCTCTGATGCAGCTTCAATTCAGGTTCAAATTCCCGGTGGATGGTCCGAATGGATGCCCTGGCAACCTTGCAGCGTCTCGTGTGGTCGTGGAATTCAAGTTCGGTAAGTGTTCGACACTGTAACGGTATAACTAATTACATTGGTAGAAAGTTACAATGGCAATTGCAAGGCTATCCACGTGGAACGATTTGTTTTAAGCTTGACTATTACAGCCATATATTTCTATGTTTCGGGGAAAGTGATTTCTTCAGGACTCGGAAATTTCTATTAGAACACACGAAACACTTCCAAAAACAACCTGAGGGAAATGTAGAGTCGCTCTGCAGGAAGCTCGAATTTCACAGCCTTTCTTTTGACCAGACTAACATTAAATCTAAGACAACAGTCTTCAACTTGCGTTCTAGCGGATCTCTTCTTCACGTACTTAGACTACCCGCAAGAAACTAAAATCAACGATTTAATATCAAATTGAAATTTATTTATTATTTAAAATAGTGTAAATTATTATTTTATTTATAATGCAGGTCGAAGAACCTATTATTAGGTTAGATTTCCTTTTCTAAGCAAAAGGTATGGTAAAATTTGCTGCATTGTGATTGGAGCGGGTGTTGCACTGTTCATAACCTTCCAGGAGTTTTAATTACCATTAGCCCAACAAGGTCTGTGGTAATTTTTAGATACTTATTTGATTTAATATTAATTTATTCTTAAAATCTTTCATTAATCAGATTTAAGAGAGATTAAAAAAGGCAGCTTGCTGGATAAAAGATAATAAGTTAATCAGTCCACTCTCTACTTTACTCATTTTGTCGGACTATTTTTAGTCGCCCCTCGAAATGAACAAGAGAAGTCGAGGCAGGGTGAGGGAAGGGGGGGGAGGGGGGTTAGTGGTGGAGTTTGGCCTAGAATATTAATGAATATCTAGATTATGCTAATTGATACACGCATGCAACAACACGATCCTTACTTCACAGACCTTTCTCCTACACTGTGAACTATGCATTATCTCTTGCATTTGGGCAGAAACTTTGGTTCAGCTCCACTAGAATAGTAAACCCTATCAAACATAATTTCAGAGTCTACTTGAGTTGACTTGATTTAGGGGAATTTCTTAATTATGCCAAAGTAGCTTAACATATTTATCAATTAGAGGCAACAAATGAGGAGGGGGGGGGAGGGGGGAGGTAATGGCAATATATATAAATTTAGTATTGATTTTGGAAAGCTGGTAAGCATTGTACAACGTAATGGAGCCAAAACTTTGCCTCTGGATGACCAAGTCATTTCTCATAGGTCGTTTGTAGGCCATTTAGTGGGTTGCTGCTGAGGAATTAGGATTTGGTTTAGCCAAAAATCCTGTGCAAGTATGCTGAGTGTGGGCCTATAAGGATCTAGCCTACTGTGGTCCCCTGCTAACTGTGGATTGGCATGTGCGTATATTTCTACTCTTTTAGGTTCTTGACAGATTTTTCCGCCTATACTTTAGGATGTTCCTTAATAAAGACTTAGTTAGACAATGAATCCTAAGATACGTTCGTTATTTTCACAAACGTTGGCGTGTGTTTCCATCTAGATGGTTAGTTTTGACAAAACTGCTGCCGTTTCGGCATTGAAGCAACTTTCACTCGCAAATTTCACTAGACGGTTTTTGTAACATTAATAAATTATTTTGAAGTCAAAACAGTTTCACAAATTATAGTGAGTCAGATTCATTATGGGTTTACCTTTTCTTCTACGAATCACCGATTATTTTTTTTAAATTAATGAAGACTATTTCTGCAATTCTAAGACAGAGATCGTTTTTTGAGGATTACTAATTTGAGGACAAAAAGCAATCGTGAATGGGCAATAGTTACGAACACAGCATATTTTAACCTTGTTGACCGAGTAGTCAGAGAAGAATTAATGCTGCATAGAATAAATTCAGTGGTGTGAGTGACCATCATCCTGGTGAGGGCCTGTCAACTGGAGAGGAAAGGGGGGGGGGAATGATAGAATGCAAGTTTTCTAAGGACACCCTGCTTCGATCCAAGCCGAGTGCTGCGAGTTCTTCACATACTAGGCTGGAAAAGTTACGATTGCATTCATTGCATCCAGTTGCATTCGTTCCACACTTCGGCGTTTCCTTAAGATTATAGAGGGTTTTCTTACCTTGATAATCTGGCCGCATGAGCCTTAAATCAATTTAGCTAAGGGATACGTTTTTTCTTCCTAGTAAGGATAAGATGAGTCTACGTAGCTTGATATTTCAAGGTTGTTGATAAATTAATTTTGCAGTAGTGATATAGTAAGGATCGAGTCTGTAAGCGTCTGGAATTTCGAAAGGCCAATATCTGAGATTTGAAGTATCCGTCTCAGCAAACTTGTCAGTGGAACTTCTCTCTAAAGTCAAGTCGAAAATCAATTATTATTTGCCAATTATTTATTCACTCTATTCATTCTATACCAGTGGCCAATTGATGAGTACTTTTTCTCCCTTTTTTCTGGTCAGTCCTTTAGTGTCACGAAAATAAACTAACGTCAATTGTTATTGGTTCTTTCCCATGACCTTGAAAAAATTGAAAATAGCTTTCATTATTTCGTTATGAATTCGCTAGTGATCCATTTAAAATTACAATGGTTTAATTAAGACTGCTTGGCACATTACATGACCTATCCAAGGTTATGAAAAGCGCGTTTAAACCCATTTGATCGTCAGAAACTACGAGTTAATGCATTCATTGCATAAATAATTTGGATGTAAAGAAAGTTTCCATTTTGCATTTGCCCAATGGTTGGGAGTGCAAAATTTGAGTATTTCTGACTTGAAAAAAAGTAATCTGCCGTTTGAGCTGTAATTTGCGCTGCGCTCTACTAACTACCTCTTGGAATACCTGCGAACTTGATTTCTCCTGGCCATTAGCTCGTAAAACCATCGGAAAATAATTGTTGCGATTTTCTTGTAGGAAAATTCGATTTCATCGGAATATTTCATTATTGCCAAAATCACAAACTTATTATAACGCATTTGTTACAGAAGATGGCTCAACTCAAGAATTCAATGGACAGTTGAATTGAGTCCAAAAGTATTTGCATTAACTATTCCTGTGGAATAAACCTTACTCGAGCTTACAAGTTGGGAGGAAAGTTTAAACAAGCGAAAGAGCAAAACATCCCAGGAAATGGAGAACTTTAGTTCGAACAGCGTGTAATAGCTCATCTTTATTTGAATTCTAGATAATTTGAATTCCCCCTTTCTACTAAGGAGTATGTTTCACCTTTTAATTGTCAAATGTTCCAAATCTTAATTTTCTGCATTTGAAGATCGGGGTTTCTACGACATTCGGAGCTTTTTCCAGTTGATGTTATCGAATTCCTATTCATATCATTTGGTATCATTTCTGTTGAAAAAAATCATAATTAGATAAATGAGTGCTCACAAAGAACTCTACTCAATGTTACCCACTTTAAATGTTAACATTTAGGGCGAAAAATGGATTTAAACTATATATTCTACTTCGTCCTTTATTGTAATCCGGCACCCCAAATTTAATGAAGATATCAAAGGTTAAATCTATGTCACCTTAAATTAATGCTGAAAAGACGTAGATAATTTACCATTTTCAGTAGTCAAGTGTCATTAAATTAAAATTGGTAAACAAATGCCAATATCTCAGTACGCACGAAGAAATAGACGTTAAGATAAATTAAAAATGAAAATGGCAAAAATTTTTCTCTTTATTGAAGGAAAAATGTCCTACGCACAGTTAAAAAGGGGAGAGAAGGGGAGCTTGAGGAGATCTCATCTATAAATAAAGCACAGTGTTCAAGGTCAACCTTATTTTCCCTCATCCCCTTTTAATATCATTCCTATTTTTCCATTTCTCTCTCTCTCCCCCATTCTGAAACTAACTCAAAGGCACCTGAATACCTTTTTTTGTTCTCTTTGCGTATTTTAATAAAGCTAACAAACATCGATTTGGAACTATTTATTACTCAAATGAGCAGAATTAGATTCAATTGTTTCATTCTTGTTTTATAACAGATGTTTACATTTGATAAATCATTACTTTCAAAAATGAACAAAAAGTGTATGAAACAAATTAAATGCCTACTTATAAAATGAGAAGAAAGTTGAATAAGAAGATGCCATTGAAGCAGTACTAATTCTAATCAAAACTTTTTTTTAATAATCTGAGTTTAGCTTTTGAGTTGCAGAATTGTGGTTATACATCTAAGCTGAGGGCGCAAAACGAGGTTGAGAAAGAAAGTAAAATATTTATTTATTTATTTATTTCAAATGGCAGGCGATTTGATACTTACATAAGCTCTCTAGCTGACTTCGGGCTTCACAGAGGGAGGACAGGAGAGTGATTCACAGAGGTAGAAGAGGCAGACAGACACAATGGTAGACAAAAGGTTAGATCAGTACTCTGAAAGTTGAGCAGTGGAGTGAGTACTGTGAAAATGATCGAATATGACATGGAGTCAGCGAGTACTGTGGAAGTAGTCGAATATGACATACAGTGGGGCGAGTGCTGTTGAAGGGGTTGAATATGACAAGCAGTCGGGCTGATTGGTAGTTTGAAGTGAGAAGTCAACTGCCGGTTGATAGACGTAGTTTGAAGTCAGAAGTCAACTGCCGGTTGATAGACTTGTTAGTTTGAAGTGAGAAGTCAACTGCCAGTTAATAGACTTGTACCGTTAAAGTAAGATCAGTACTCTGAAAGTTGAGGAATATGACATACAGTGGAGTGATGGTAGTTTGAAGTCAGAAGTCAACTGCCGGTTAATAGACTTTTGCCATATGATTATGCTTTCCCCGGGTTGCACCACATGGAGGTAAGTCTATCGCACACCCCACGAATTCCATTATTAATAGTAATTAAGCAAAGCTTATAAACCTTTTATTCTCGACAAATGCATCTGAATGCGGACAACAGTAGGAAGGTAGTAAGGAATGAAGGAAAAGGTATTGAGTAGAAATTGCGAATAAAGTCAGAAAATCAATAGAATATTTTGACCCATGAAATGTTCACATGCAGGTATAATTGATTAATTTCTATTTTAATTTTTATTGGACATGAACCTATACTTGTTTATATTCCTGACGATGTGTGGCTGCAC